CTGGAGTGCAGTGGCACGTTTTTGGCTCACTGCAACTTCCATCTCCTAGGTTCAAGCAATTCTCCTACCTCAGCCTCCCGAGTGGCTGGGATTACAGGTGTGTGCCACCACGCCCAGCCAATTCTGTATTTTTAGTAAAGACAGAGTTTCACCATTTTGACCAGACTGGTTACAAACTCCTGATCTCAAGTTATCTACCCACCTCAGCCTCCCAAAGTGCTGGGATTACAAATGTGAGCCAGTGCTCCTGGCCTAATTTTTGTATTTTTAGTAGAAACAGGATTTCACTATGTTGGCCACACTGGTCTCAAACTCCTGACCTCAAGCAATCTGCCCACCTTGGCCTCCCAAAGTGCTGGGATTACAGGCGTGAGCCACCAAACAGCTTTTTGTACATTCGACAGCTTAAGATGAAACAGCAATAACTGGCTCACCCTGGGAATTTAGTTTGGTACGTTAACAGAATGAGTCTTTGCCTAACCTTCTCTGAGAAAATCGCATTTGTTAGTATAGGGCTCGGGAATATAACCACCACTCACTGTCTTTGAGATCTACCTATAATGAGTGATAGGATATAAGAGATGAGTATTTTATAAGGTTTATGAAATGTATTCCTAAACCTGTTTTTTGTTTGTTTGTTATTTTTATAAATCATCATGTAGTGCACCTGGAAGTGGTCCCATGTTCAGACCAACCACAGTGGCTGTAGATGAAGAAGGTGGAGAAGATGATAAGGATGAATCAGCTACAAATAGTGGCACAGGTGCCACTGCCTCTTGTGGCCTGGGATCTGAATTTTCCACAGATAAAGGAGGCCCTTTCACTGCAGTACAAATCACTAGTACCACTGGACTGGCACAGCCTCCTGGGTCAGCCTCCCAAGGCATCAGCTTTGGCATTAAGAATAATCTGGGGACCCCATTGCAAAAATTGGGAGTGTCATTTTCTTTTGCCAAGAAGGCTCCTGTCAAACTTGAATCAATAGCATCAGTTTTCAAGGACCACGCGGAGGAAGGGACCCCTGAAGATGGAACAAAACCTGATGAGAAGGGTTCTGACCAAGGACTGCAGAAGGTAGGAGACTCTGATGGTAGCAGTAATCTTGATGGTAAAAAAGAGGATGAAGACCCTCAGGATGGAGGGTCCCTTGCCTCAACGTTATCCAAATTAAAAAGGATGAAGCGAGAAGAAGGAGCTGGGGCTACAGAGCCCGAGTATTACCACTACATCCCCCCAGCACACTGCAAAGTAAAACCTAATTTTCCCTTCCTACTTTTTATGAGAGCCAGTGAACAAATGGAAGGTGATAATAGTACACACCCAAAGAATGTCCCAGAGAGTAAAAAAGGCAGTTCTCCCAAGCCTAAAAGCTGCATCAAGGTGGCAGCAAGCCAAGGAGCAGAAAAGACTATTAGTGAAGTCTCTGAGCAGCCAAAGGAAACCACCATGACTGAGCCCTCAGAACCAGGAAGCAAAGCTGAGGCAAAGAAAGCCTTAGGAGGGGATGTAAGTGATCAGAGTTCAGAGAGTCGTAGTCAGAAGGTTTCAGAGACCCAAATGTGTGAGTCCAACTCTTCCAAAGAAACCTCTCTGGCCACCCCAGCAGGGAAAGAAAGCCAAGAAGGACCCAAACATCCTACTGGTCCCTTTTTCCCAGTTTTGAGCAAAGATGAAAGCACTGCCCTCCAATGGCCATCAGAACTATTAATTTTCACCAAGGCAGAACCATCCATTTCATACAGTTGTAACCCTTTATATTTTGACTTTAAACTTTCAAGGAACAAAGATGCCAGAACTAAAGGGACAGAAAAGCCAAAGGATATAGGAAGTTCCTCAAAGGATCATCTCCAAGGCCTAGATGCTGGTGAGCCAAATAAAAACAAGGAAGGGGGTGGAGAGAAAATAGTACGTTCCTCAGGAGGCAGAATGGATGCACCTGCTTCAGGGTCTACCTGTAGCAGCCTGAACAAGCAGGAGCCTGTGGGTAGCCATGGGTCTGAAACAGAAGACACAGGGAGAAGCCTTCCCAGCAAGAAAGAACGATCCGGGAAGTCCCACCGGCACAAAAAGAAAAAGAAGCACAAAAAATCCAGCAAACACAAACGTAAACACAAGGCTGACACAGAAGAGAAAAGCTCTAAGGCAGAGTCAGGGGAGAAATCTAAGAAGCGCAAGAAACGAAAACGAAAGAAGAATAAGTCATCAGCCCCAGCTGATTCTGAACGAGGACCCAAACCAGAACCCCCTGGGAGTGGCAGTCCTGCACCACCAAGAAGACGGCGGCGAGCTCAAGATGACTCCCAGCGAAGATCCCTCCCAGCTGAAGAGGGGAGCAGTGGCAAAAAGGATGAAGGTGGGGGCGGTAGCAGCTCCCAAGACCATGGTGGGAGGAAACACAAAGGTGAACTTCCACCTTCATCCTGCCAGCGAAGAGCAGGCACCAAACGGAGCAGCCGGTCTAGCCATCGGAGCCAACCCAGTAGTGGAGATGAGGATAGTGATGATGCTTCATCACACCGGCTACACCAGAAGTCTCCATCCCAGTACAGTGAGGAAGAAGAGGAGGAAGATTCAGGCAGTGAGCATTCCCGCAGCCGCTCGAGGTCTGGCCGGCGCCATTCCTCACATCGTTCCTCCCGGCGTTCTTATTCAAGTAGCTCAGATGCCTCATCAGACCAGAGCTGCTATAGTAGACAGCGCAGTTACTCTGATGACAGCTACAGTGACTATAGTGACCGATCACGAAGGCACTCCAAACGTTCCCATGACTCAGATGACTCAGACTATGCCAGCTCCAAACACCGATCCAAACGGCACAAATATTCATCTTCTGATGATGACTATAGCCTCAGTTGCAGCCAGTCCCGAAGCCGATCTCGGAGTCATACCAGGGAGCGCTCAAGATCCCGGGGCCGCAGCCGCAGCAGCAGTTGTAGTCGTAGTCGGAGCAAGCGGAGAAGCCGTAGCACTACAGCCCACAGCTGGCAACGGAGCCGGAGCTATAGCCGGGACCGCAGCCGCAGCACCAGGAGCCCTTCCCAGAGATCAGGCTCCAGGAAGGGATCATGGGGTCATGAGAGCCCTGAGGAAAGGCATTCTGGGCGTCGGGACTTCATTCGTTCTAAGATCTACCGCTCCCAGTCCCCCCACTATTTCCGATCAGGCCGGGGAGAAGGTCCCGGGAAGAAAGATGATGGCAGAGGAGATGACAGTAAAGGGACAGGTCCACCTACCCAGAACAGCAACATTGGCACAGGAAGAGGGTCAGAAAGTGACTGCAGTCCTGAAGACAAGAACTCTGTCACTGCCAAACTGCTGCTGGAGAAGATCCAGTCAAGGAAAGTGGAGAGGAAACCTAGTGTGAGTGAGGAGGTGCAGGCCACCCCTAATAAAGCTGGGCCCAAGCTCAAAGACCCCCCACAAGGTTACTTTGGGCCCAAGCTCCCCCCATCTCTTGGCAATAAGCCCGTCCTTCCACTGATAGGGAAGCTCCCAGCTACCCGAAAGCCCAACAAGAAATGTGAAGAGTCTGGCTTGGAAAGGGGGGAAGAGCAAGAACAGTCAGAGATGGAAGAAGGGCCCCCAGGGAGTAGTGATGCCCTTTTTGGGCATCAGTTCCCTTCAGAGGAAACAACTGGCCCCTTATCAGAGCCACCCCCAGAAGAACCAAAGTCTGAAGAAGCTACTGCTGATCATCCTGTGGCTCCGCTAGGCACCCCGGCACACTCTGACTGCTACCCTGGGGACCCAAACATCTCCCATAGCTACCTCCCCGACCCCAGTGACGGGGACACCCTGGAGTCCCTGGATAACAGCAGTCAACCAGGCCCTGTGCAATCCAGCTTGCTGCCTATAGCACCAGACCTTGAGCATTTCGCCAGTTATGCGCCTCCCAGTGGAGATCCTAGTATTGAGTCAACAGATGGGGCTGAGGATGCTTCACTGGCCCCCCTGGAGAGCCAGCCCATCACCTTCACCCCTGAGGAGATGGAGAAGTACAGCAAGCTCCAACAGGCTGCACAGCAACACATCCAGCAGCAGCTTCTGGCCAAGCAAGTAAAGGCCTTTCCAGCCTCAGCTGCCCTGGCCCCAGCCACACCAGCCCTGCAGCCCATCCACATTCAGCAGCCAGCTACAGCCTCTGCCACCTCCATCACAACTGTTCAGCATGCCATCCTACAACATCATGCTGCAGCAGCTGCTGCCGCCATTGGCATTCACCCCCACCCCCATCCCCAGCCACTTGCCCAGGTGCATCATATTCCCCAGCCCCATCTGACCCCCATTTCCTTGTCCCACCTCACTCACTCAATCATCCCTGGCCACCCTGCCACCTTTCTCGCTAGCCATCCCATCCACATCATTCCTGCCTCAGCCATCCATCCTGGGCCGTTCACCTTTCACCCTGTCCCACATGCTGCCCTCTACCCCACCCTGCTTGCCCCACGGCCTGCTGCAGCAGCTGCCACCGCCCTCCACCTTCACCCACTACTTCACCCCATCTTCTCAGGTCAGGACCTGCAGCATCCTCCCAGCCATGGCACATGAGTTGGGGATGGGATCCTATGTAGGGCCAGGGAAGGAGAACCATAAATGTTCCCTTGGGGGTGTTGAGCCATTAGTACCAGCAAGTAGAAGCTGGGATGGGCAGTGTCTGGCAGCCAAAGAATTGAGTTTTGGCTTGCAGGGGTGGGTTTAGATTTGAAGTTTGCTTTGAGTTTACTATCAGGGATTTCTTTTTTCCTGTCCTTCTCTCAATTTGTCCCTCCTTCTCCTGTGTTTCTAAGCTAGGGAACACCAGTAAGTGCTACCCACCCCTCTGCAGCAACATCTCCTAACTGTCAAGTTTAGATAATTCCTTCCTCCCTCTGCTTTTTATCCTCTGCGCTTCCCTTCTATAAATTTTTTAACATTTTCCTCCTCTCTGGGCAGTGGGTTGTCACCAAAGCACTTGCTGTGGGCCCATCTGGTCTTGCCTTCTCAGTGCCACAAGGAAGGCCAAGCTGTTCTCGTGGTGGAAGTGCCACCACTTTGGAGTAGTATCTTTGACCATCCTTGGTGACCTTATGTTATCCCAGGTGAGGTGGAAAGGAGTCTGACCTGGAACCTGATGCAGCTCAGGCTGCAATTCGATCCAGCCCCACATAAACAGGGCCACACATTTGGCACTGTTATCCTGATGTCCCTCACCCCAGAGGAGGCATCTCCATATCCCAGAAAAGATCCTATCATGAATAGAAGCTCTGCGGAGTATACAGTTGCCCATGTGCTTTCCCAGAGAGGAGTTCATGTGTCTGAAGTGAAGGGTATATTTTCTTCTGTTGTGTTGATGTTTCCTTTTTAATTTATAGGATTTTTTAATGTAAAAAATTGCACTGAACTCTATAAACGTAAATGCTGCTTTTTGTAGCTCATATAAAAAAGGTTCCATATTTGTAGTATACTGCAATAATATTTTTTACATCCAGCTCTTTAAGTGATCCTCGTTCTGGTGGCTTTGTGTAAATATGTTTGCCTTAGTTGAATTAAGAAACTTTAAAGGTTATAAAATGAAAACAAAAAATAAAGTATTTGTTTTCTGCTAGGTGCAAAACTGACTAAGCATGTATATTTTACCAAGCTCCTGTATTTTTTGAAGTTATGAACTATAAAATGTTAAAACATTTTTTGCTGGGACAAAATGTTAAGTAATTTGCAGTAAGTAGTGCCCCCGGTATTGGGATTTTTGAGCTAATGGGCAGCAGTCAGCTCGGGGTTTCCGAGGGATGCTCATCTTTGACAGTCTCCCTTGGGTACTTTTGTTGTTTTACATAGAGAAACCAGTGGACCCCCCAGAAGAGAAGGAGGGGACTCAACAGCTTTATTGACTGAATCTCACAGCAGTGACATGCAGTGATTTTCTGGGGGGATCCTGGGTTTCCCTGGGTACCTTGTTCCAGGCAGTCAGTCTGTTTGCCTTCCTAGTACTTAGCCTCCCCTGACAGTTTTTTTTTTTTTTTAATGTGCCTTTTGGGTTGTTAGAAACTGAAGTAGAAGTAGACTGAAGGATGAGTTGGGACAGTCTTCCTTTTATTGGGAGGTAAGCACATTTATAGATACTTCAAATTGTTTTGCTTCATAGTTTCCGTGCCCTCTGCCCAGCTCAGTTTAAGCAGTAAACGTTCCTTGTTTCTTTTCTTCCATGACACTGACCAGCGGAATTACCACCTAAGCCTCCTTCACCCCTCTTCTTGCCTTTCATCCAGGCCCTCAGCCCTAATTAACACACCGACCCAAAGGTGCTTGTATTGCAGGTTCCATCTCCTTTGATGAGGTTAACAATTCCCTCTGTGGCATTTTCCTAACTATTCCTGTAGCTAGAATTGGCTGGGTGGTCACTTGACAAGAAAAACTTTGCTTACCTAGGCCAAGGCTCTGTGTTCCTGCCTTCTCAAATTCTCAAAAGAGAAAGGTTTTGAGTTTATGAGAAGAAAGTGCCAGGCAAACACAACTCTTGACTGCCCTCCCTCCTACCTATTCAGTGCTCCTCGTCTGATTCAGAAGCATCACTTCTTGGATAACTAGCACTGGAAAAACAAAATCATCTGTGAGTGAAGGGACTCATTTTTCTTTGCTTTCAGCCCATGTAAATATTTAAATAATACAGTATTAATATTTTGTGCTGCTTCCCATTAGCTTGTAGATTGAGCCATACTCTGGCTGCCTCTTTGCCTTCCTAGAGGCATTTTCCTTAACTTCCAGAATAGTGATTTTAAAACTTAAAAAAACAAAATAACCTATCCTTACTTACAAGCATAACAGATTGTATTTAACTTTATCACATATGATAGAGATATATATGCTGTAAAATGAGGGAAAGGAACTTTATAATAAACCAATGATTTGTGGAAACTTAGCAGTGTCTGTTGTAATTGTTGCCCCATCCACTCAGCGTTGGGTAGGGTTGGAAGTGTGGGTCATAAATAACATCTTGTTTGAAGTGACCAAGGAACAGATCCTATGAACCAGTTTGAGTTGTTTGCCAAAAGTTGTGCTTCTGAAAGCTCAGGCTACGCAAAGAGAGAGGAAAGATCTTGGTGTAGGAGGAGGTAATATGTAGTTAATTTCTCTCAGTTGTAGGTAGATGTATTGGAATGTACACCTCCTTTCCACTTCGTCTTTCCCACAAGAGTTTTCTTCCATTTCCTTCCATTTTAGATATGTAATCTGTGTGTAGTAGTGTATATAGAGGTGCTTACTAAATGGGTGTGGAATTTCTGGCTTTGAATTTTAGGATTTTGGACTACTTTAAGAGCACTGAGATTACAAGAATCATCTGCCAGGATTTTGTCCTCCAGGTGGAGTTCTGTAAGCCAGTCTTCAATTACTCTCCTCAGCCTTTTAATATCACTACAATGTTTGAGCCCCGCCACCTGGTGAAAAGAAATAATTGTTACTAAGAAGATAAAGCCCCTACTCTTCCATATCAAAAAAATCACAAAAGAGGCAGGGAAAATTTAGCATGGAAATCTACCATAGATTTGTAGTGATAAATGAGTTTTCCCTCTCAACTTCAGCCTTTCAAGAAGGAAAGGCTTTCTTTCCTACTCTATTTTGATACATTTCTTTCCTACTCTCTGTTACACCTGTGTTCTCCCCTTGATTAAAGAGAAGCTGTTCAACTTGAACCTGGGGGTTGAATGCTTAGATCTGCCTGTATTCCTAAAATAGCAAAGATCCTTACCCAGAAAGAAGTGACGTTAGACATACAAAAATTAGCCGGGCATGGTGGTGCACACCTGTAATCCCAGTTACTTGAGAGGCTGAGGCAGGAGCATCGCTTGAACCCAGGAGGCAGAGGCTGAGCCAGGATCACACCACTGAACTCCAGCGTGGGCAGCAGAGCAACACCCTTTCTCTCTCTCTCTCTCTCTCTCTCTCTCTCTCTCTCTCTCTCACACACACACACACACACACACACAATGACATTAGAAAATGAAAAATGAGGCCAGTGGTAGTGGCTCATATCTAATCCCAGCACTTTGGAAGGCTACGGCGGGTTGATCACTTGAGGTCAGAAGTTTGAGGTCAGCCTGGCCAACATGGTGAAACCCTGTCTCTACTAAAAAAAAAAAAAAAAAAAAAAAAAAATTGGCTGGGCATGGTGGTGCATGCCTATAATTCCAGCTACTCAGGAGGCTGAGGCAGGAGAATCACTTGAATGTGGGAGGTGGAGGTTACAATTAGCTGAGATCATGCCACTGCACATCCAGTCTGGGTGACAGAGTGAGACTCCGTCTCAAAAATAAAAAGATTTTCTGGGAGCAGGGTAGTTGACAAGTCAGAGGCAGACTGGACTGTGTAGAGTGTTATGTGAAGGTATGTGCAATTAATTGCCTTCTGACAAGGCCTCAGCCACCATGGCCTGAAACATGAAGTACTCCCTCTTCTACATCCTTAACTAATTCAGGCCTCCTCAGCCATTTCCATTCGTATTTGCCAGAGATAGCTTCACTCACTTCTACCAACTCATATCTCAATTATTGCAGCATTTTTCTGGGTGGCTTCCCTGACTAGGACCTAATTCCCCGTTCTGTGTAAGCTTACTGGCTTTTCAGAATCTGAATGCAACTCATTTTGTATTCACTGCTTCCCAGTAAAATTGTGATCTCTGAAA